CTTTAGGTCTTGTAAATGTTTTGTTGCCACATTTAGGTTGTAAAGCTGAAATCTCTGCTCAACGTTTTATAGAAAATCACAAGCTACGAAGGGAATGCACAAGGTATTAAGGGAACAGGAAATAGCCCATACAAACTAGAATGGTAGTAAAGCACATACCTTCACCAAGGCCCAGCAGTCCCCTTAAATTCAATCAAGCTGCACTGAGGTGTTCACACTCACAGTTATCAGTCTCCTTAATATGCCTGATGGTTTTCATTAAGATCCATGATTTATTCACTAGAAATTGGCGAAAATGTCACAATGTTTAAGAAAGTGATGAAGAAATTTCCTGGATCTGTCTGTTTATCTGGATCGGCCCCAGAATTGAATGGGTTCTTTCTTTGCAAATACACCAGCCTTCCACCAAGTTTCAAGAAAATCAGTTCACTTTAGTTTTTGTGATCCAAAATCCTGCTATAAATCACAAGATAAATGTAATAATTAAAATATAACCTAGAGGAGAGGTTATAATGAAGTCCAATCTTAAGGACAGCTCACTTTATTGTGTGTTCATCAATGACTGCATCCCTTGTGCTTATTGTAAATGTTAAAGTGATTAAACATCTCCTTTTGTAAAGTTGTTTATTTAAAAGTGTTGTTTCCTATTTTCTGTTCTTCAACCTGAGAAAAACAGGTTTTACAAACAAACCTTCAGGGAGGGAGAGAAGCTGTGAGGGAGCAACTCACAGTTTTGTGTAAAGACGTCTCTGATGGGTATTTGTTTGTTGCACTTACATCTTGATAATTGTGGTGGAATTGTTCTCACACACTCGAGGCCCCAAGCTTTACCATCTGTGCCTATTATCAAGTCTGAAGCTAGGAAGTGAAAAACTAATCTCATGGATTCAGAAAAACAGTGAAAGGATTTTGTGTATTCCTGTACAAGGGATCAGAAAAAAACGAGGAAAAAACACATGACTGAGCTAATAATACATCAAAATAAAAGATAAAGTAGTTTTTGAGAAACACAACCAAATATACAGTAGTGTTCATGTTTGATGACAGGGAATCCCCACTGTGTGTTTCCCTGGAGGAAACCTTATCTATCCCAGCTTATACAATACTATACATCTATCATCGGGGCACTGGATGAGAACAGTTTATCTTCTCCTGTTCTCTTTTACTTTCTTTCTTTTTTTAATGGACTGTGTGATGAGTCTCCCCCCTGCTGGTTTCCTCCTCTTGTGGAGGAGGGGGTCTCGGCAGGAGATCCACAGCGCTCATGTCTGAGGGGAGGAAGTTTCATTCCTAACTCTTGGACGATCTCTTTGTAGAAAAACAGCTTCCCTCCCTCTGCTTGATCAGATTTAACATCCACCCTCCTCCACACGTTAGTTACTGCATGTTTCCAGGGATGAGTTCATATTTTGAGTGGAATAAGAAGTTAGAATCGTGGCTGAGTAGTTCCACATTCAACAAATGCTAGTCTGATAGAACCGATTTATACAGCCTGGCTTTGTGATGTCACAAATCTAAGAAGCCAATCCTGTCAACTTGTGGGTGGGGCTCAGAAGCAGGAAAGCGCTCCAATTAATCTAAACTGCGGCTTCATCCCACAGCCATGCACACTGGGATAAGGGTAATTGGAGACTCTCTGAATCCTGGCCCTGAGATACTCTGGCACCTATCAGGTGTACCTTACCCAATGTCAGCTGGGTTTGGCAGGGCTTCATGGTTTAGGAGTTGATGTTGGACTTTTCATTTCATCGTGCTCTCCTCCATGTGAACCTTTATCCTCAAATACACTGTGGAAGAAAACAAGAGGCCTAACTTCTGTTTGAAACACTAAAACTTTCTGATCATTGAATGAATGAATAGAACATCTAACAACATGTAGTGTCTCTTCACACTGACTTCATTATATGACTGGATGAGGGGTCACTGAGAACGTGGCACAAAATCTTAAATACTTACATAACTAATCTAAAACAGCATTGTCTCCTGCCTGTTTCCTTTTTCTCTCTTTGCCTCAGTCCCAAATCAGCGCTCGCCGCAGGCCTCCGTAGCTGCCAAGACACAGAGTGTGATTTCTGCTTCCCCAGTCCCACAAAGGTGGAGGACACTTCTCTTCCTGCCAGTGAGAAAGGAGGTGGGCCGGCAGCAGTCATGAAATAAAGACAAGGAAAAAAAGAAAAGCTCCAGCCTTCCACCACACAGCTTGTCTTTCATCCCCGTCCCTTCATGCAGCTACTTACATGGAGGAGTGGGCGATGCGGAGGCGCCAATCACAGCCAGAGCCCCGGGCCGGCATCCATGATTAAGCAGAAGCAGGGAATAGCAACTGAGTCACCGGAGGAGATAAGCTGCACATCTGTGTGATTACATAAATCAGTTCAAACATCAATTGATCAATCCAGGATTGGAGCCTTCAGAGGGGTGGCCAACTCTGACACATCCCCCTCCCCCCCTCAAAAAAATCTGTTTGGCTCCCTGGAATGTATCTTACTTGAGTGTTGTCATGGAAACATTGTTCAACTCCACAAAACAAAATGAAAGTTTGATTGATTGATTAATTTTTTCTTTGTGTGAATCCCATGTTACCTGCATGGGGGTTATCTTCCTCCCACAGGTCATTCCAAACAGATTGGACTTTAAACTGATCATACATGTCAACATGAGAGCGAATGGTTGTTTGTCTCTGTATGTTGACCCTGTGATACACTGATGATCTGTGCAGGGTGCACCCCCATGTCTCACCCAATGCCAGCTGGGATTTGGTGTGGGTATGTACTCTACTGAGTCCCATTCTTGTTGGCATTTGCACCTACTTTGAATATATATTACTACTAATAATACTACTACTACTACTACTAATAATAATAATAATAATAATAAAAGTAACACTAGTAGTAGTAATGGTAATTAATGAATATAGAAAACAATGATCATTATTATTAGTAGTAATATTATAATTATGGACTAGAGTTATTCCTACAGTTGGTCGCTAGATGGTGCTGTTGCTCCATGTGTCTCCCCGGTGCAACTGAGCAGAAGGTGGAGGTGCTGCACCTCCTTCATTGTCTGAGCGGAGGCACCGGGAGTGGATCCGCCGCTCGCCTCACTCTAATCCCGTCTCTCTGCACGGCTCACACGCTCAGTCGTCCGCCATGGCGACCGCAGAAAGCCTCCTCCTCCTCCTCCTCTCCTGCACCATCTGAAAAACTCCTCCGGGATCCTCTATTCCTCCTCTTCTCTTCTCTGGACGTGGATGTGACTTCCTCTCGCAGCCTGGACACACAAACGCGTGGATATTAAAAGAAAAAAAAACACCGCAGTTCCAGAGAAGCGTGTTGAAGAATCTCGCAGCCAAGTCCTCCTCTGTCTTCCCCCGGCTCGTGTGCTCCTGAAGGGGAAGTGATTCAACTTGTTTGAGGAGATTAGGGATAAGTCCCGGGAGTATCTTTGCCCTGTTGTTCCTTGTGATCCTGTGGATTTCGAAGGAGTGGAAACAACTATCACCCTGTGTGTGTGTGTGTGGACACATCTACATTGTGCAGTAAGTAAGTGTCCTGTGTGTCCTTGCATTGCACATGATTGATCTCACTCAGGCTGCGTGGATGTGAGCAGACGCTGCGGTGGTTGTGAAAAAGCTTTAACGTCGTCGGGGAACGTGCATTTAAATCATATGTATGTGACAGTGTGGTTTCCAGAGGCTGCTCAGGTGAGTGCATGCATCAGTGCGTTAATGTCACGTCTCCTGTACAGGCTGATCATGTCCTGCAGGATTACAGCAGCCTGCTCTATTAACCCACATTACATGAGTGCTGAGAACACCTTGGTGCCAAGACTGCGTGAGGTGAGGATTCACCCATTCCCCCCCCTGCATGTTCTCCAGAGGCTGAACCCTGGCGGCTGTCATTCCTCTTCCCTCCCATGCACACATGTCACGCTGCCAATAATACACTGGGAACCTGTATTGATTCATACACAGCCAGCCACACCCAGGTGTCAGTGTCTGTGTGCTGCAGAGGGAATTGAGCTTGAGTTTTTGGAGGTTTTCCTGCAGGTAGAGAGACAGCTGCCTGTATCAGCCCCCCTCCCACCAGCCTCTGGCCCTTCAGCTGTCACTAAAGGCTTCCAGCTGCTGCAGCACTGGGCCTACATTGAGGGGGCCCCGTGCACACAGAGGAGCCACTGTTACCAGCCTGTGAGCCAGCAGTCACAGCCCCTTGTTGCACTCTTGTGGGGAATTTCAAGCAAACAAGTTCAAAAGCAGGGCAGGTTTACTTGGAGCAACACTCAGGGGTCTGTCAATGTCCTTCTGGTATTGCAGCCACACTGGGAAGGGGGTGTGTTGTATGTCACACCCTGGGAACAAGGTGCCAGCTGTACTACCGGTGCCTTATTTATGTGTTTGTTTGGACCAGAGCTACCTATTGAGAGGTGCACGCAGACCTGGGCTCATGACTAGTTGATTCATGATCCCCTGGTGCAGGGGAGGAGACATGTGGGCTGAAATAATCACTGTCTACTCTTTCACTGGCCTCTGTTTCACTGCTGCTTTGTTTGAAGAGTGTCCAGTTACGTGGTGTGCAGGTCATATAAGGCATGAGTTTACAGACTGCACAAGAGACACTTGCCAATAATCAAGGGCCAGGGAGTGATGACTGTAGGGATCAAATGTCGCCAACGACTGGGCCCTGAATTGAAAAATCGTCCTCTTTTCCATTCACGCCCGCGGTGACAGCATCGAGGTCTGGTTTCCATCAACCCAAGGGAGTGTGAGTGTGCACTTCAGCTGGAAAACTCCAACATCTCGCACCCACTGCTGATGACAGTGCTCAGGCAGGTGCAAATAGTGAAATATGCTCCCTAAGCTCAGTGGCTTTGTGGTCAGGGTTGAACAACATCTAAAGTTACGAATGAGATCACAAAACTGAAAGTAAAACGCTGCCATTTGTGTAATTAAAACTCATATTCCACATTTCATGATAAGTTAAATTACAGATTGCTCTTAAGTTAGAAAAATGAGGAATAAGATTAAAAAGATAGCCCTAGGTTGTAGTGCTGAAATGTCTCTTGAAGAATGAATGAAAACGATCTTTAGTTGCAACCCCACTTATCACAACCGCTCCAGGTGCAGTGTTTTCCAGGAACTTTTCAGGGTGCCTCTCCTATGAGCGTCAAACAAACCGTCATCACACAAACTGTCCTCGGCCTATTTTCTCCTTGCACTTTGCCAGATTGCATTATCCACTCCTTTTCCAAATGCCTTATTCAGCTCTCAGCTTAAACTTGGCAGCAGTCACTCACCTCTGCGGTGCCTGAACAACTGCCCACTGGCTCCACTACCCCGATGAACCACTTGGTGAGGTCTCAGGATGACATCAGCCTGCTGGAATGTGCAATGAAAAGAGAATTAAGCAGGACAGCACGGCCTGGAGGGATCGGGTTGTGGATACATGGGGGGGGGGGGGGGGGAGTAGAGAGTGTCCTGCTCATGTGTCAACCCACAAAGAATGAGTCCTTGACTTTGTCCAAACAGTCCTTCACCTGAGACAATAACAGACGCTGTGGGACTGTGCAGATTGGTCCACCTTGGCCTGTAATGGAATATTAGATGGGACCATCCATAGCTGGATGTGATTGGGCAGTGGTTCCCTATATTTATTTATCAGATGTATCCCTACAGTTGTGTCAGATTAACGTTTATTTATTAATTTCAAGCATTATCCATTACTTTGAGCTACTTTCCATTATCCATCACTCAAAGCAAACGATTTAAGTAGTTTCTGTTCCATCAGTTTTAGTTGTAGCTAGCTAAATTTACCCAATAGCTATCCATTATCTTTAGTGAATTATTTAAATTGTGGGCTACTTTAAGATAGCCTTTTAAACCATGTACCCATTATCTTTGGGATTTCAGTTTTTTAGCCATTATGCTACATTATCTAGTTTAATGTTAAACTGTCAAAATGTTTATTCAATTTCTCCCTTATTTTGATAAGCTACTGTGCTTTAGTTAACGCTGAGTATCGATATCTCTCAGCTTTCCATTTCAACCATTATCCATTACGTCTAGCTAACTGTATAGACCTCTGTCAGTCTGAATGTGTGATGTTTTATTGCCAAATCAATATGTGGATACAAGTAAGAATAAATATACAGTAGTTGGGCTCAAGACACAGATAAATCTACACACAGTAGTTTGTATTCTCTGTTAATGCATTTTACACTTTGCTCTTGAATTAGTCAAATTTACCACTCAGTCAGTTTGACTTGATCCTCTTGAGACCTGTTAAAACTAAATATGTCTGTGGCACTGTGCGTCTTTGGCCCTAATGCTTTGCTTTTACGACTTCCCAAATCAATTGTGATCATATTGACTATTTGATTTTACACTCTGGCCTTGTGACTCGTTTGTCAAATCAAATTATGCCTCCCCGTTTTCTGCTTTGAAACCAAGAACACGCTTGGATCTTTACAGTAATTGGTTCTCCCACAGGCAGGAATTATCAGCTATTAGTGGGGAACGTGCAAATACTGCGTTTGCAATTACTCTGTTGGCGTGACACAGAGGGTTGTGCAGTCTGTCCTCTGGGCCATGATGGATTCATTGTATTTCAACTTCTGCACCTTCGATGCTCTATAAGAAGACGTTTCTTACTACTGGGATCATTTTTACTGCATTTTCTTGTGTTCTTGTGCAGGTGATTGAGTGTGTGAACACATTTTTGTATCTCTGACTTTATTTTGTCTCAGCATCTCTGCAGGCTGAGCAGTGCAGTGTACCATGGTGGAGCCTGACCCAGAACAAATGGCGTCTGGAGCAGGGCAGCGTCTCGGAGCCCCAGAGACTCTTGGCATCAGTACGTTGGACCCCGGGCACAGACCTCCGGCCATGCCCCCCGGACGACATGTTACCATCAGGGTCCGTATGTTGGATGACACAGAGGAGCTCTTTGACATCTCGGTGAGTTGTTATTGCTATCATCTCAGTGGGAATACTAATGCCAGAAGGGGACTTTTCATTATTGCACAATAGCCAAGAAGCTTTTCCCATTTTCGTCATAGCAGCAGCAGCAGTCGGGTAACAGGTTGGCATGGCAACTGCATGATGGTGAATACATGGATGAGACTAGAATTTATCTCATAGTATCAAGGTTCTTCCAGTTTATTGTGGTTGTATATTCTGATAATTGCTTTACAATATCAAACAATCTTAAACTTGTGCTTCTGCTATTGCAACGCACGTTTTCTCCCACTATGTCCTCCTGACAACCTTTAAGATTTTCTTTGGAAACCGTGGACAAGACAAAACAATCCTTCAAATATTTTTTGAATAAGACGGTTTTCTTTTTGAATTCCATTCCTAATGTCAGAATTCAAAGGATTAACTTTCTCATTACAGACATCTAAATATAGACACTGGTGTAATCCATTTGCACAGATTATGTGACAAAGGATTACATAATCAGAGCTAAAAATAGATACTGATAGTTAATTACCTATTATTTTATTAGCTTAAAACCTCAAATCCAAATTTAGAAATGTCTCAAAGCCCTAGAAACTGAATATTGTTTCTAATTTCTGTGGAAATTCTAAAAAAGCTGAAAAAATACATGAAGTAGTAGAAGATGATAAGATAAGTCTGCACACTTCCCCCCTGGATTCCTCTGAACTTGGTGGAGCATGTGAAAAGACAGTTATTTGTCTTCGAAAAAAAGAACTAGCCATCTTCTGTGACCACAATCTGTCCAGCCCACACATGAGCAGGATGAGTAGATTGAGGAACGTGGAGGTGGATTGGTGATGGAGGGAAACGGATACAGCAGCAGTCACAGGGGACTCATTTAATGTGTATGAATGGGGTTTGGCAGTAAAGCTCTGCAGCTTTACTGCCAGTTTGAGAGTGTGAAGTGCAGGGTAGAAGATGTGCCCTTCTGGCTGTTTCCCAAGGCACTAAGGGTAAATGTTGTTCAAAGCTAGCCGCAGAGCTCCCTGTGCATGACTGCTAATCTTTCTAGTGGTATCATGTGTTGTACTAAATACTTAAGGCTCGCTTGACTCTCACATTGAGATCTCATTTGATTGGCCTCATTTAGACTACACGTTTGTGTGTATGCTCTGGGTTAGGTGAGGCATTCAAGCCTCATTTGTTTTTGTTTAACAAGACAATTCTTGGGAATGTGCACACACTCAAGAGTTTGCAAGACAGTATGCGTATGTGCTGCCTCTGCCTTTGACTTTTCTAACATTAGAACAACTGTTTGCCAATTCTCGCCTTTAAAAAGTCATCATCATCCAGCAGTGATGCCCACATCTGATACCAGGTAGAGCAGATGGAGAAGGGAATCAAGCTTGTGGTCAAATACAGTCAAACTGAGTTTCGTAATCATACAGTAGCTTTTTATAGAGTTGTATGACGCTTTCACACTTATCTGGTTTGGTCCGGACCTTCTGACTGAATGGACCAAGATTAAGTTAACTAATTAACTAAAAGAGGTGGTCTCAGTCCAGAACAAACTGAACCATGGTTCCGTTTATTTTCAGAGTGAAAACACTCTTTTTGAATAGATCAGCATAAAATGGAGTTGCCCAGGCTCACAGCTTGCCCCTTCGCCTCTGATGATGTGATATTGGAATGATAAGGTGCAAACTACTGTCGTGTACCCCAACTGAAGTGGGTGATGCTGGTTGTAATACCAAAATGATATTGAAGTTGCAACAAAATCAATAAGATAAAGAGAACTTGACGAATTGACAAAACACCTACATCAGCTGATGCTCGTCTACAAACCAGTTAATACCAAGTACAGGTAGATGCAGCTCAGGTATGTGATGACAACAAGTCGTACATATGTCATACAAAAGTCTTCAGCATGCTTCCTAAACTGAGACACCAAAACTAACCAGATCAGATATTAACAATGTAACAGAGACACTATGGATTGGACCTTGGTCTGGACTTTCAGGTTTGAAAACACCCTCAGAATCAGTCAACCAAACAGCAGCTCTGACACTGGGACAAACACAGTGGAACTTGGAGCTGCTTTTGAACAAATGTTGCACCAGAAATGTGACACATATGTGACCCTGGCTCTGATGCATCGCTGGGCTTTAACAGATGCCAGAATGGTTTGGTTCTTTAAAGATTATACTAGATAAAAGTTTTGGCGCTGCAACAGGCAAGATGCTGCTCAGGAGAGGGTAAAAATAAACCCTCCGGTAACAGAGAGCTTTATTCATGCTCAATTTAACACACATTTTATCCTCTATCTATCCCAAGTCAGCATTTGAGATATAAATCTCAGTGGGCTTGATATTGTTTTTGCCCAGAGGTATCCAAGGACACATTTTCCTGACTCATGAGCTCACATTCCAAGGTGGAAAATCTGTTATCGGAACAAAAATCACTGCAACACGTGAAACTTGGTCAAGTTTTTAGATTTAGCTCAGAGATACAGTTGATTCATTTCTTGTATTAAATTAAAGTACTCTTTGCTGGGTACTTAAAGGGTCAATGTGTAGAATTTAGTGACATCTAGTGGTGAAGTGTCATGTTGCAGCTGAATACCCCTCACTTCACCCTCCCCTTCCAAACATGAAAAAGAACCTGTGGTAGCCTTCGGTTTAGTTTGTCCTGTCTGGACTACTGTAAAAAACATTGCAGGCTCCGTAGAGAGGACCCCTTGATGTAAATATAAAGTATTTCAATATAAAGAGTATTTTCTATGGTAAAGAAAACTACAATTCATATAATTTAGATGAAACAAACTCGTGAAAACATCATGAGGATTATTCTACATTAAATTTCTGCTAATAGTTCCCTTTCACCTAAATCTTACACACTGGACCTTTAAAGCTTCTGATGACAAAGTAGATATATCACATTCCAAATGTATCCTGTTGATGAAGACGCATCCCTTTTGAAGGTATAGTTACCCCTCAAGAATTTGACTTGGCAAGGGTGTATGGAAGGAGGTTTTTTTTTCTTAACCCAGTATTATCCCCTAAAATCTCATCTTTTATTGGAGCACCTGAGAGAGAAGATACAAAAAACACACATCAACATAGCTCAGAACCTGCATCTGATCTCTTAATCTCTCCCCCTGCAGCGGTGGGGTGAGATAACTGCACGGTCTACAACACACAACTGTCAAGCAATTATCCAGTCTTTGTTTTTTGCAACCAGAACATAGGGCATCGTTCAAGAAGTAGCGGTTAATCTCACATGTTTTTGTAGTTCAAGGGAGGAGGTAGGACTTTTCTTTTCAGTTTTCTCTTTGGGAAAACATAAAACGTTCCGTCCTCACCCTGTCACCGATACTGGAGGCTTCAGCTCAGTTCCTCTGCTTCAGAGGGGTAAGTTTTCACCTCAGCGGGCAAAGTATCAGATGGTTGAGAAACAAAAAGGGGCCATCGAGCCATCTCGTGGGTCACATACCATGCTGTGGCCCACTTAGCACTCTGGTTGTGAACACACTTGTGTTGATGCTGATGATTTCTGGCTCCACAAACCTGGATGACGCTGGGCTGGCAATGATTTTAGAAAGCTTACAAAAAAGCTCTCTGATTGCACCTATTTATTATTGATTTTTAAGGAATTTTTTTCAAGTTGACATCGTAGGCTTGCTTCTGCCTATTTTACTCGTGCAGAGTTCAGTAGAGCAGGAAATCCAGACTGCAGCCGCCCGTCTGTCTCGCAGTCCTCAGGCTAACACACACCAGCACTGTCTGTGCCGATGTTTTGATGCTTATGTTTGCTGATGGCTGGTGGACGCTCTGCAAAAGTTGCCAGTGAAGAGAGTGACTGTAGCATGGATTCAGGGGTTAGAAGAAGGGGGATGGGGTGATATATGGAAGAGCAGAGAGAAGGAGGGAGGGACAGAGGGAGGGGAGTAATGCTCATTCCTGTGAATCAAGGAAACATGCTCCATTAGCCAAACCTTATTGGTAAAAGACCAACGAATACAACCTAATATGGAATGTCCGGCTTCTCATTCAGTCCTGACACGAGACAGACAGACTCTTAACATTAGGAATTCAGACACATACTGTGTTTCTCACTTTACACTTCTGCTCCGATTCGACCTCTCTCCCCATAATGAGGCTCTGAGGACTGCAGTCTGTCCTCCCCAGCCATCCCTTTATCCATTACAGTCACGGTTCAGCCCCAGTAAAAGACTACTGTGAAAAGGAATTCATTAATTACAAACCCATATGCTTTCCATATGAGATTGTTACTCAGCACTGTCTCATTATACCACTCTGCATTAGTTTTACTGTCTTACCCACTAATACAATCACCAGCAAGTGAATATACATGCACAAATAAAATAAACTGAAATGATAGTCATGACATTATGCACATTCATGGTCCTTGAGGATGAACCCTAATGATTTTGATGACTCCCTTTTTCCCATGAAGTTCACTATTAGAAAATGTTCTAGCAGCTGCTGGATGCATGGCTAGAGAATTTGGTTTTCTCACGATAAATCAAAGTAAAAATGGTGATACACTGACTTCCCTTAATCAAAATGTCACTTATACAGTGAAATATCTTGGAATATCTGTTGTATGGATACTGAGGACAGTGAATCAAAATGACATAAACCTCAGCTGTGCATAGTGTTTAGTTTTAAGATGTTAAATTTAAGCATTTAAGCATTGTCATTGTGAAGCTAACGTTTAGCTCAAAGCACCACTGTAACTAAGTCAAACATGGCTAACGTGGCGCTGGACTCTTGGTAGGGCACCTTCACCCAGTGGTGTGTCGCACCAAGCTCAACTCAGGCCTCTGCTAGTTTCAAACCAAAGCTCTCATATTTTTCCATCTAGACATCATTACTAAATAGCAAATGCACTTGTGCCTATTTGAATCCCTTCTGCAGAGCTCCTAAAGTGAGTATTGTTGATTCTTGGTATCTTGAGGCAGCAGAAAACGATTGACAAAAACCTGGACTGAAGTA